ATATATATATATATATATATATATATATATATATATATATATATATGGCACCTTTTATACCAGTTAGTTATTTTGATGGAATGGCCGATATTTAACTTTATCGCTAAATCGCTATTATCGGCCGATACCAATACCATGCCGATAATATCGTGCATCCCTAGTTGCAGAGCTAGAATGAGTCTGCTAAGGGATTTATCATGCTACAAAGTTTATTTTCACTATTTATATTCACAAATCTTTACAGTCAAAAACAGAATGGTCTTGTGAACTTTTGCACTCAGTCCTGTCACGATCAGTGGCATTCACATAAATAAATCGAGAAGGAAAGTAAGAGTGACAACAAGAGGAGTCCATAGGCCTTTCGCAACATAATCATGAGTCATGCCACCAACCGTCAAAAAGAAACAGGCTCTAAATTTAGCTGGTGATACAGCGCTAGAGTCCAACCAGATTCTCTGTGTCGTCACTTTGACACTACGTTGATGTGCTTTATCAGTGTCCAGTACAGGCTGTCTGTCAAGCAGCTGCTCAGAAGCTCGGCCTTATCGCTTGAGTAAACATGCCCACCTCTATAACAAGAAACTCTGGATTAGTTATATCAGCAGAAAGAGAAAGGTCAAGCAAAAATGCAAACAAGCCAGAGCACTTTGATAGAACAATGACGCATATTGACTTTCCCACCAAAACAAATCATCACAGATTAATAAACGAAAAGTAAATATCATTTTGTGTTTACTCCATGCAAGCCACCCCTCCCCCGCCTTTCTACAAGTGCTGAAAGGAGAGCCTGCCGTGGCCTCACTTAAACCGCGACGAGATAAAGCCACAAACACGGCATACGTGCAAATGCACCATCTCAGCCACACACACACAGTCACACGAACAGCCACTGGAGATATTCAACCCTGCTTTCAACACCTCCTATTGAAAGCACCAGGAGTCGTCTCTTAAAAAAACATGGGAGATGAAACCTGAACTCTGCTCCTTGCCCTGCACAGGCTGGAGCCGTCTTCCTGCCATTGTGACTGTCATTACTGCCGTGTCTCAAATGGCAGAGAAACTAATGTCAGCCATCCTCTCGGGACCTCAGAGTCCCCTCCAGCCCTCTCTGACAGAGGAGCAATTTATCTGTCAGCATCCACCAGCACTCCTGCGCTGCCTAATCCCTCCTTTTGCCAGGAGCAATGGGCTCCAAAGGAGAACACTTGCAGCCACACTGCTCGAAAAATCCATCAATAGGACGGCAATCAAAAGCACTTGAATTGCTCTGGGACAAGTGTCTGCACTGAATAATTCCAACATAAATCGGCTGCTGTCAGGAGCAGCAGGAATGAGAACGAACAAACCCTAACGCTCTTATCGCGTTCAAGTCGTGGTGATTGCTAGGCAGCAACGTAGCGAGAAGTGAGAGGCAGCAAAAGCAGAAAAACATGGGTGTAATCATGTACGCACAATACAGTGAAGTGCACAACCAGAGCTAGAATTAGTATCAAAGGCTGAACAGAACTGTGCATTGTTAGACTCAATGTAAATATCAAACCATAAAAAGATAATTGGTCAGAAAGTGGAAAAAAAAAGATTCTCCTAATCGGCTACAATGAAAAGCTACGCAGGATGTGACATCACAGCACAGTTTTCACTATGACTGTCCTCCCTGTTGTTTACTAAGCCTGCACGAAGGAGCACAAGCCACTTCCTCATCCCCTGACCCAGTCCAGCCTCTGTTGTGCGTCAGTACATCCTGGCTGCAAATATACTTCACAGCAAACATCTCACTGTATGGTTGTCTGTAAATGTCCCGCCAGCGTACATGAGTCATACTTTTCAGCTAGGGTAAAAGTAACACCTGGTTAATACTATGAGAAAATAGAAAACTGTCTTGCACTTTAAAGTTTGAGGTAAAAAATGAGTCATATTGTATCCGGGACAGGGAGGGAGCAGTTTGTTGATTATTTGAGGTGTGATTTTTTTTTTTTTTCAAACGTCCATTCCCCCTATACATCATCATGGACGTCGCCCTCAACTCAAAACGTCTGTGGCTTGTAGACCTCTTATCTGAGTGTCTCCTGCGGCTGCTTCTTGCTGAGTGAAGGCTCCCTGGAACCACAGCTGCTTCCCTCTGGGCTCAAGCGCTGGGCTTCGGGTTACGACATGTTTACCTACTCCCGGCAACTTCTGCTTTTATAATGTGCGCGTTAAAATTAAATGTGCTTGTTTGACTAAAAATATAAAAGCAAGGCCTGAACTTCACAAGAAATGTCCCGACATTCTCAGTAGATTTTAAAAATGAAAGAAAAAGCACACCGTCACCCTAGCTAGCCCCAGTGTGCTGTTTGACCCTCCATGACACTTGCCTCCACAAAACATTGAGGAAACAGGGGAAAGGAAAGAGAAATAAACAGGAAGAGGAGGCAGGGGAAGAGCCTGGGGTTGGCGGGTAGGTGGGGGAAGGGCTCTCCTAAATCTGCAGCGTCTTTGGGTTGAAGGAAAAAAGATTGAGCTGGGCTGAAGCTGTGCATGTGCAAAGCCTCTCCCAAACAAACAAACAACGAAGCAGAAGAAACTTTTTACTCTTCATTATTCTCTGTCCAATCAACAAAGGGGGCATCGTATTAAAAATAATCTAGATGATCTTGTTTTCTAATTGCATACACATTATGAGTCCCGATGTCCTTATTTGACATTCTTACACATATGTAAACGCATACAAATTACCTTTGACTTCATGCGAGAAGACTTATTTATCTGCTGCGTGTTGCTTTCACTCAAAAGGGACCAAATATTCCAACTACCAACTCCTAAAATTTGTTGTTGTCCTTCTTGTCACCAAATTGAAGGTTTGCTATAACTGTAAATATGGCGTACACGCAAGTGTAACTTTGCATCTCATTTTGCTAGCTCAGCGTGTATCCCATGCAATATGTCTGGTGAAAGGCACATAAAATAATCTGTTATCCAAATGGGAAAGCCGTCAGAGTAATCAATAGTTTATGTGGGGCATAAAAGGGAGCGTATGCTCTGATTACTTAGCACACAGCTGTGGTGTCGTTTACAAGTTGTACGTGTTTGCTGCCATCAAACTCCAAGGAATGTGTTCGGCTTTGCTCCTCCTCACCTGTTGCAAGTGTTCCCGGTGAAACTGGTCTCCAATCAGCTGGAGTTTCTGTCCAATGCAAACTTCCAAGCTGCGTGCCGCGGGCAGCTGCCGGGGCAGCCGCTCCATCCCGTTTGACTCCTCTTCCCTGTCTTGTCGCCTCGCTTCAAGATCCCCGACAAGTTTGAAGCGCGCTGGGAAGTGCAATCGAAAACCTGCGTTACCTGTTAAAGTGTTAAGGTTGATACTTATTATTATCTTGTTAGCGATCAGTAAAACAACCAAAACACAACAAAGACACCAGACGGGCTGCTCTGGCATAAAAGCAAAGCTCTGACGAGGACTGCTGAACGCCACTTTATTCACACTACCTGTCTCTAATTTTCCCAGCTGTTGTTTTATTACATACAATAGATTTTATAAGTCACTCGCACGCTAAACAAACTCATCTAATCCAGACAGGGTCAAGTCAAGGTCAGTGAGTTGTTATGAAGCAACTTTGGAATGATTACTTGGCTATGACGCCAGTTTAACTTTGCTGTCACTGATAACCGGCCTTCTGAATAGCACAGGTGAGCCCTGCTGTCACATCATTTCAGTCACATTGCCAGTCTGGCGCCTTTTGAATAGCAACGCAGCTGGGTACACTGTATACAGACCATAAAAGTGATTGTGAGGACGACTATCAGGCGCCAGCTCAGCACAGCAATACTCTTACACATTTCTCACAGCGAGCGTCACGTTATGGTTTTAGTTTTATAACGGTGGTTCTCACGAATGAGTATGTTCCCTTTTTCTCTTCTGAATCACTGCATGCCTCACCGTAGAATAGTGGTCTGGGCTCCTCTGCGACTCCACAGGGCAGCATGCCGCTGTGTGGTACCAGGGCAGGACCGGGTGTCTGTGTGCCCTGGTCTTTGCACTTTATCTCCCTGAAAGTCGTACGCCAGCCGCTGGAATCTGGCTCAAACACATCATCCTCCTCATCGTCCATACGGGGGTGGGGGGACTAAGGGATGACCAGCCTTGAAAACGAAAAGATAAATACAGAATCAGCCAATAAGAATATATCAAACACATTTTAAGTTCCTTTACTTATAGCGGTTACTTTAAACAACTGTGCATTAGAGCTTTAAGCTCACACACATTCATGTCCTCTATTAAGCCCTCGCAAATCAATAAAACCAAAAGGGATGAGTTGGGGAGAAGAAAGGCAAACACTCTGCCTTTATTTGTGGCAAATACTTCTGTGGTAGTTTAAACAAGCGGCTCCGTTGAACTCACTGATGTAACCACACAATTCACTGCGGTTATGCGACTCAGTTGAAGTACAATAACATAAAGGGAAGTCTGTCTGAACAAAAAGCAACTTTCCCTCTTGCTTGGGCTTTGAAAGCAATTGTGCACTGACTATATTACTTATGACAAGAGGTTTTTCTTCCACTCCAAAATTTTAGCTCTCAACTTGAATATCTAAAAATTCAACATACTGACAACTTTGCGATCTTACCACAATGAGGCAAAAATCTCCAAAGAACCCAGATCATAGATGACATACTATAATCATAAAGTGGATCAGAAAGTTATCAAAACATGTCTGAAATTCAAGCTGCCTCTCTAGCAAAAACCACAATCCACCACCAAGTTGTAATACAGGGTTACACCACCACAGGTTCAAATTAGGGGTTCACAGCAAAAAAGTGGGATGGCAGTCTTGGAGGAAAATCCTGAGACTCTCTCTCTCTCTCTCTCTGACCTGTTCTAGCAGATCCCTCAAATGGGGATCTCAGTTCTCCACCAAGCATTGACACCCTGCATGTTGCATGAGCAGACCTCATGGTTTAATGCTTTGTTTGAGAAACACAGGGTGAGAACATGGACTTTGGGAAAAAAAATAGAAACACTTCCATATCTACTGTTGCATTGCTCCAGTGAGCAGCTGCATGTTTGTGACAGACAGTGGCTCCCCCTGCTGCTGACTCAATACCCACCCACCCCCACCCCCCAACACACACACGCACACACATGCCAAGGAAAGGGGGGACGCTACCCCGTCTCAACTTTAACTGCCAATGCAAACACCTCACGAGACCGATAAGATAACAATCTCGCGATACATCTCTTGTTTATCAGAAAAGGTGCGTTCAGGGACCACATTTTATGTCACAAAAACGACGGGCAAAAATGCACAAATTGGCCAAACGCGCACTCTTTAAACGTAAATAAAGTGGGAAAACCTGTAATTAAACGTGCAGATGTGTTTATTTCTCTGTCGTGACCGTCGTAACATTGTAACAGTCGCGTGACAAAGACGCTCACCGGCGGAGCAGCCGGGAAAAGAAAAGCCGGTCGGTTTTCAACCGTTCGCTGCTTGTGCGGATGACAGGTCGACTCCAAATGAATTCTGATTTAAATTAGACTCCCCGGACATTTTGGAATAAACTGCAGGTGTCGAAACCGATTTTCTATTTCGACAACGACGGCGTCTTCTTTCTTTCTATATTTTCTTTGTTTGTTGCTTCTTCTTCCTGTGGACTGTGAGCAGATGCTAGAAAGTGTAGCCGATTGAGAACAATTAAATTGTGTTTCTTACCTCAAATGTGTCTTTTGTTACGAATTTCCCACGGCGGCTTCAGTATCCTACCAAGTCAAGAGAGCTTAGTCCTTTTCACCTCCACCACTACTTCCATTCTGAGAGGAAAACTGCTACGAGCCCATTTAGCGTGAGCGCCCTGCGCGCGCGGGGCGTGGTGCTGAAAGCTAGTAAATAAAGGGTGATTTACATGCTGGAGCCGCGACCAATGGCTGCCTTTGTTTATCTCCCGGTCCCGCCTCCTCCCTTAGACACGTGGATGGGAAATTCCCCCGAGCACGAGACTGCCTTCACCGCAGAGCTGGTATATTCAGTTCACTTTAAGGACTCCTTTCAACCTGAGTCACTCACCCAAATGACTCGGTTCACTTGAGTCGTTCACATAACAATTATATATATATATATATATATATATATATATACACACATATATACATACATATATACATACATACTGTATATACACACATATATACATATGTAATACTTTTATCATTGTCAAGTGGTTTTCACTTTTCGGGGTGTTTTAATTTGCAGTTTCCCCCCACTTGAAAGGGCAGGGTTTAGAAGATTTTGGATTGGACTTCACTCAATGACCAAGAATCAATTATTTCTTATCTCGCTTTCATTCTGAAAGTTGTCCAGGTCAAAACAGGTGAAAAACATAGGAATTCAAGAAAATGTAACCCAGTAAGCCAAGATCAATTAACATAACCCCTAAATTAAATCCTTTTTAAACAACTAGAATTTACCCTTGAAACTAAGTATAACAACAAATATATGACACCCAAATCAGTCCTCAACTCATTTATTTATCCATCCATACATACATTCCATTATCTTTTCCCTACTTCTTCCTTTTTGGGTCACGGGGGTTGCCGGTGCCCATGTCCAGCAATCACTGTGCGAGGGGCAGGGTACACCCTGGACAGGTCTCCAGTCCATCACAGGGCCACATAGAGACAAACGAGACAAACAACCATTCACTCGCTCACTCACACCTAGGGACAATTTAGAGTTACCAATCAGCCTAACATGCAAGTTGGGAGAAAACCAGAGTACCCGGAGAAAATCCACGCATGCACCGAGAGAACATGCAAACTCCACCAAGAAAGGCCCCCCTCGACCGGGATTTGAACCAGCAACCTTATCACTGAGAGGCAGCAGCTCTACCAGTTGCACCACCGTGCTGCCCTCATCTATTCATTTCATTTCATTTCAGTTTATTGATATAGCACCAATTCACAACAGAAGTCATCTCAGGGCACTGAACAGAAACATTCATATATAAAATAAGTTAACAGAAACATTCATATTTAAAAATAATAATTTAATAATAACAAATAATAAATAAATAAATAATCTTCACAGCATATCTAGTGAGGTATTAAACTGGTGCAGCCAACTGACTCGTGTGTCTGCAGCATGTGACTCTGCTGTTTTTTTGTTTGTTTGTTTGTTTTTTCTGTGTAATTGCAAACTCGCTGACTTTTATCTGTAGTCTGCCAGAAGACGTGATGGATTCGGGTTAATTTAGACCTCGGTCGGATTCGTGGGACCGGTTCAGTGTGAGGACACAGATCATTCACCTGAGTAGATCAGAAAGAAATCACCTCTGGTTCACACTACGAGGTGCTCATGTGCTCAACAACACTCAGCTGTCATCTGCCCGATTTATTTATGTGTGCACATATGATGCGCTGCTATACACTGCACGATATGCACACGGCTATGAGAGGTCATGTAGGCCAGCTGGATTCTTGCATGCACATCTGATCACTCTGAACATTAACTGCTTAAAAACTTCACCATTTTCAAATGATTTAAGTCTAAGTAGATGAGCAAGTGCTGTGCCTTACAAGGTCATGGAAAGTATGGGTGCAGAGGGTGCGGCAGCACCCCTTCATGAAAGCACGTATGCATGCCTTAATACATAGTTAAAAAATAAATAAATATATATATATATATATATATATATATATATATATATATATATATATAACATATTTTATTAGTGCTGCAAAGGTTTAGATATCAATAATATTTTAACATTATATTATTTTTGTTAAATCTGATGCATGAAACAGCATTTTTATTGTGTGCAGAAGTTTTCAACCGCCTAAACACACAAAGAAGTGGATATATTAGTTTGTGGTAATGATTAAAACTGTCCAAAATTCAAAGTATACAGAATATTTTTTATGTCCATATTTAGATATGACTATATGTAACCCAGCTGCAACACACTGCAACAGCTATATAATAGAAAAGTTGCAAATAATTAATTTTGACTTGAAATTTTAAACACTTTTTAAACACGTCATCCTGTCACAAAAATACAAAATGTTCCCATTTTCCAGGTAAATATTTAAAATAATGTCAAAAATAAGAGTTTAATTATAGCAATAATAATAATAGTATTTTTAGCACAATAGGAATATGTCTAAAGTGCTGACAACAGGTCATACAGATGATCAACAGAAGGATGATGCATCTCTCTGATCATGTCTTCTTTTCTTTGTCCCCTTAAGGCATGACAAGATCTTTTGGTTCTGACACTTAATTTTTTGTCCTCCACTTGAACACTTTCCTCATTTTTAAAACACACATTGCACAATAACAGCATTCTAGACAGAAAATTCGCAAAAGAAAATATTAAATAGGCAGCTAGATTGAAAAAAAAAACATCCTTAAAAGATTACAAAAAAACCTCTAGAATCCTTGGAAGTAAAATGTAAAGAAAGATAGGTGACTTAAATATTTTGCACAATACTCTACAGACATATAACCTCAACTTCCAAATGGTAATTTTGTAACTGCCTAGCACTTTCTGGTTACAAGCAATTGAGCATTATCTGAAAAATTGGCAGCATTTTGATCATTGTTGGTGGAAATGACCTAAATTTATTTGGGTAAGGCCCCGATCCTAATCAGTCTAATAAAGCACCTGTGGCTGAGAACATACAGCTGTTAGTTTCACTAAAGAATAATCAAAACATTGATAAAATTGTTACAAAAAGCTGCTGTAGATTTTTTTAACTGTGTCACAGGTGAAATCTTTGGACATCGAGTGCATCTTCGTGCTTAAATTTGATGGAGCTTTGGAAATCAGCTGCACCCCCAAAACAACTTATCCCATAGAATTTGATTCTAACCCCCAGGTGTTCTTTGTCCAGCATTTCTCTGATCATGATGTATTTTGGTGGTGAAAAGAGGCAATAATAAAGTAGTTCTTGATGTCATGGCTGATCAATGTGCAAAAGTTATTAGCATTTTCTACTTTGCAAACTGTTTTGTAGCTAAATTTTTACCGTGTTTCAAACAGGTGTTCTTTGTGAATGAGAGCCCATGTCTCACTGGGTTAAACAACATTTATTCCCTTCATTTGAGTTTATTAATTACCTACATGCCACGTTAAGTTCATGCTGGTTAATTGCAGCAGACAGGCTGAAACGCAGTGCAGATGTTGATGATCCTCCTCTCCTGTCAGCGCTGTCAGACTGATCAATAAACCCTGCGACAGCTGGAGCTGAGCCCGTCGACCTTCTGCGTTCTCTCACACGAACCCTTCCCCCAGCTCCCAACCCTGTCCTTCAACTGGGAGATTAGCAGTCCCACCAGGAGCAGTGTGAGAAGTCAGGGCTTCCCCCCACTCAACTCCTCCTGCCATGGGTTAATTAGATGAGCTTTGCATTTTGTCCCACCTGCAGCCTCTTAAAAGAGGTGTAGATGTATGGACATGGAGATGTAAAAGAGAAGGATTGATTTTCTCGTGTGTCATGATGTTGGAAACTTGATCTCCTGCATGAGTGGCCGCCGTAAACAACAAAAGCTTTAAAGATGTGCAAGCATCAGTTGCAGCTTCTTTTTGTGTTCTTGCTAAACAAAGACAACCCCACCCCCCGCCCCCACACACTCTCTCACACATATATTCAATTTACCAGTAATTGATTGACAAGGAAACAATACCTGCGATCACTACAAAGTCCTGTTAAGTTTATTGTTGAACAGACAACGTGAGAATGTGAGAGTTAAAGTGTTGCAATACCCGGAGCAGGACAGAACAAGACACACGTTTGATGGTTTTTATTTTAACACACTCTTAATATGCAATTTAAATGAAAACAAAAATAAATATAATTAATTAAAGTGCTAGTATTTTAAGATTAAAAACCTCTCATTATTATTATTATTCTGCATTAGTGTCTGGCTACTTTGCAAAAGACTCCAGGAATCATTAAAGCTGTAAAAAATACAGCAAACCTTACAGACAGCTTTAACACCACGGGGAGAAATCACTGCAGCAATGGCAACTTTCTGTCGTTGACACATTTGAATGATAAATTACGGTAAACACTTTCTGTATTTAACTGAGCAAGACATAATTCAGCTGGTTGTGTGTTAAAATGGACTACGGCTTGTTTTCAAACCTTCAAAATACATTCATCATACACCCAAAGGAAATCGTGTTTTAGTATATATATATATATATTAGTGCTGAGTAAAGATGAAAAATTTTAATTACGATTAATCTCAAATATTTTTTGCGATTCATCGCGATTAATTACTATGCACAAAATTAAATTATGACCTAAATATGTTTAGAACATTTTGTAAGGTACAGTTTTATAGAAAAAAAAAGTTTAATATGTTAAAAAAGGCACTTTTTAACAGCACTGTTATCCTAGAAAATAATGTATTTCAAGTAACATAAACGTGAAAAACACCGTTTTTGATGTATATATTAAAGTGACTGTACAAAAAAGAAAAAGACATGACAACAACAACAACAATCACAAAATAGTTGAGTCACAAAATATTCATTTCACAAGTACATAGTTCTACCTCACCATCTCTAAATTTATGGGAAGATTCTGGTCCAAAGAAAAAAAAACACCTAAAGATCAGAAATACACATTAAGAATTTCTTTCAAAATAAAAAAAAGCAACTGTCTTATATAGCATGCACAGATATATAAAGG